GAGAAACGGGGGTAGAAAGTTATGAAAGAACTACTTAAACCTGATTGATGGATTAAAGAAAATAGATGGATTTGAGCCGCCACCCAAAGAAGCCGACTCAACTTGTCCACGCACTGGTGTTTCTAACTTCACTCATATTCGTCCATCATGTTAGATTATGCTTATAAACCAAACCAGACTTATGAGATCACACTGTTCTAGTCATGCATTTTCCTGAGTGGTCAAACCTTAATCACCTCAGAATAAGGGGTAGGGACAGGTGGTTTCGTAACTTGACTAACACGCATACATGCTTAGATCTTATTATCCCAACCAGATACATTTAGTATTTACGCAGTCTTGGTCGTGGTTTTTCTTGTATCATTAAGCCTTGGTGACTGGAGCTTGACACTAGGCTAGGCTCAGAAAGGAACTAGGCAGGATTATCACTCCGGAGAATTTTCAAATATTCCAGAGTTTGACAGGCCACAAGTCATAAAGGGTCGGGATTTGATAAACTTGAGGCATGATTACAAATTGCTCAAAGATGAGATAATAAAACAGTGCAGGGTCCAGCTAACCCGACTATATTTTGATATTTCTTTATTAAAGTCATCCACTACTCCAATCGATGATAAGGATAGGGTAGTGAACTTATCCTCAGTCCTAATTCCGAAACCATGGATTTCCTGAAGAAGAAGTTAACTTCTTCCCTAAGTAACGAAGGAGAAGTTTTGGAAGATATTTTAGTGGAGTTCGTGAACATCTCGGAGAAATATCAGGAAAAGACCTAGCGGGAGATAGAAATGGTAATTATCCCGAGAATCCTGGTACAGCAAGAGCCAAACAACATGAGCGGATTGACGAATATGTGCATAAAATTATAAATAAATGAGAATCGTGTTCTTTAGGCGGATATTGAGGGATAAATAGTGGTAATGGACAAGGATCAACGAGATACTGGAAGATATGCAAAAGGAAGTGCACAACAACGAATAAATCGAAAGGTGGCCACTGAATTCTTCTATTAAAAATGACGTAAGGCCATCCACGACCTGCAGAACACCGAATATGCACAAGGAAGGTAAAACACGGATTAAGAATCAACAACAAGCATGGAGCGACTCGCAAGCTAGCGGAATTCATAGGTTTTAAGCTCAACAAAGTAAAGTACAGAATTTCGAACATCGTGAACAACTCATACATTTTCTCAATGAATCCAAATCATTAGACTGGCAGGAATGGAACTGTTGGTAAATTTTCACACATAATCTATGCCCAGAGACATCTCGACCGAGAGGGCGGAGGTGCTCTGCTGGAGATCTTGCAAAGCGAAGAGGATACCTTGGAGGCAGAGCGGATAGGGAAGGAGTGGTTAATACGACTAATCAACCAGACAGTAAGAATCACCTATTGTACATTCAACAGCAATATCTATGAGCAAATATTTAAACTTCTGATGGGGTCTCCTCTCACCTCTTTCGGCAAATGTTTATATGGACAAATTGGAAAGAGTATGTGCTAAGTCACCACTGCAGCCAAGAGTACTTATGCGATATCGGGATGACTACTTTACACTTTTCTCGCCTGGCAAATAAGCTTTAAATAAATTCCTCAACTTTGTAAACCAACTTGACGAATAAATTAAATCCATAATGGAGGTGGAGGAGAATGAGCTACTTCATTATCTGGATGTTAAGGTAATTTGCTCCAACGGGAAACTCAAGAGGAAGCCATTCAGTATCACCGCAACTACAAACTGAAGATAGGAATAATGAGGAGATTGATTATCAAAAGCTTAAGACTACTGGACATGGAGCCCTGGGACGAGGAGTTGGACAAGATGACTCATACCTACCTCAATAATGAGTGCTCCCAGAGAATTCATAGAAAGGAATATAGAGGCCACAAAGATCATATATCTACTTGGATATCATGAAAAAGAAGTGGATATGCTTGCCGTCTTGTGAAATGAGTCAAAAATTGATAGAGTCACAAAGAAAGTGGAAATTCAAGATGATAGGGCAGAAAAAGAGTACACTCTTCACTAGACTGATGACGTAACACGAGAAGTTTGACAAACTGGATTGCTCGGGAATTTATCGCACAACATTCAGCAACTGTAAGTAACAGTTTATTGGTTTGGTAGGAAAAAAAATCGGCCTACGTATTAAGTAACATCAAGGATTCTGCAGAAACATGGATACTGAAAGATCCAGAATAGGGGAACATAGTGTACTGACGGGACATTAAATCTACTTAAAATCTACAGAAAAGTTGGCATTATATGGTGAAAATACAATAAAACGTAAGGAAAGCTGATGAACAGGAGGCTCGAAGAAGGCAGGATTAGCGAAAATCTTGCATATTGTTCAAATAAACTCGGAGAAGAGCAGGAAAAAACAGGCTCAGCAAGAAGAAGACAATTGGATTAAGGAAATACTTTGGACATGAAAAAGATAAATCACAAGGAGGATGTCACAGAATGACAATCGGAAACCAAGAGGAGACGTCTACAATGAGCCTACTCCAACCAAGTAGAACAAATATCATAATTTGGGGATTGACTCACAAGCCTGGGGCATAGGAATGTCGGAGACTTGGAATTATGGATAGAAACGCGAGAGACGTGGCGGAGCCTAGAGATAGTTGGCTAATAGCAAACGGGTTTCATCATAGACATTATCTGTGAATTCAAGGCAGGCTCACGGAATTTGCCCGGTGCACATACCGAAAAGTGATAAGTGAATCGGCATGGTCAAGTTCGTTTCGCGTCCAGCTTGAGAATCCAGACTTTGGGGGCCTGCATCATGAGGCTGTAGGATATGTGCTATCAAAGACTTGAGGCAGGGTGTAGAATATTACGCCTCGGGTAGCATAGATGTGGTGGCAGCAAATGAGTGAAATCACTAAACCAGAAGGACAAGAGGGGAATCCTACGGAGAAAAAAGGAATATTCTGATAGGACCTGGATGAAGAGGATTGCCGACTCAGAAAACAGACTTAGATCAACACTCCCAGCACAGTAGGATCGATTTAACTTGTATCTTTGATGAGTTGTAGCCTGGTGCTAAAACTGGTACTGACCACGATGACGACAAAACTTTTGAGAATGTACACAGTTTATTGTAATTATTATGGATACAATGGACTTCGGACAAGGAGTGTTCCTCTAGTTCGCCATAACTATACGACTAAGTTGCGAAAACAAGGTCAAACAACTCCTATTTTCGGAGGCATAAAGACCAAGATGGTCTGACCTCTTGCATGGTCGCCGTTTATTATGTTTATAATTTTATATCATTTAGGTAGGATTTTCTCGATATTATCGATCAACTAAGCTGTAGTGGTACTCTAT